CAAATCATAAAATTTTTAAGTCACACATCTTATTTTATCGTCACAAACAACTAATTATAGGTCACAAATGACTTTTATTGGTTACAAATTAATAAATTTGTAGGTCACACAATATTTATTAGTCACAATTCAACAAATCATTTGTGACCACCACGAACACAGCACCACCGTCATCTCCACCGCCAACACTACCACCACAGAAACACACCACCACCGCCAACAACCACCACCACCCCCAATGAAAATGACCTCACCATCAGCACCAGAAAATGACCTCACCACCACCACCACCATCGCCTCCTAATAGCAGCACCAACATTTCACAAAGAACACCACCCCCTTCCCAGCACCACTATCACTACCCCAAAACCACCGCCGCCGCCACACGCACCACCAGCACGCACTCACGCACGTACGCAATGCACACATCCAACCGTATGATCGTCCATCGTGCGGTCCACCACCCCGTCCCATACCAGATCACAACGCACACCCATCCAACAATCGCACCGCAGCCACACCCACATCAACACAGCGTCACCATACAAACTACACTGCACCACTCAACTATCAACTGTCATACCGCAACCACACTCCATTGCAACACAGCCCACCACAGATCTAAATCGCTGCAGCCGTGTCGTTGTGGTCACCATTAAAAAACACATATTTGTATTGCTGCAGCCACGACATCGTCATGGTGGGCCGACGATTTGAGGGAGAAGAGAGGCGTTGGCGGCGAAGGAAGGGTCTTTGTTGGCGGCTGCACCACTTGACAATGAAGGGATTTGGGGGGAAATGAGGTGGGAAGGAGGTATGGTTAGTTGACGGGTTTTAATCGCCGTTTCAGATTGTAGCGGTGGTAGGGTCGGGGTCGACGACGGCGATAGAGGAGGGAGTAGAGAGAGAACTGGTTGGGCGACGATCCAAGCACAGAGACAGGGAGGAGGTGAAATGAATTTTAGGGTTGATTTGGGTTATTTTAATTTGGATGAAAATTATATAATTAATATTAAATTAAATATAAAAAACCTGATTTTTGAAAAGTTAAACTTGTGAGGTGATTTGTGAAAATGGAAAACTAAAACCAGGGCTCAGTGTAATTTCCTCTTTTGGGAATTCCAAAGAAANAACCAGGGCTCAGTGTAATTTCCTCTTTTTATATTTATTTTTAATCACACATTTATATAATAAATTATTTTATACGTAAATTTTTTTTAAAAAAAAAAATCTACTTTTTAAGTATACATTTTTTAAAAAAAATTACTTTTCAAAACTCAATTTTCTCAAAATAATAATCGAAATTAACAATCGAAATTAAAAAGTTGTTGGGTTTTGTTATTTGTATAGGGAGGTTGACACCCCCACAATAGAATGGCTACGCCTAATAAAAAAAAATTGTGCACATTCTCTATTATTAAGGGAATTGTATATCGGAATGTCACATATAGCAAAACCCAATATTATATTAGAGCCACAACTCTGGTGGTAAGACTTTTAAAACGCTAAAACCCAATCAATTATAAAGGCAAGCCAACTCACAGGTCAAGTTGTAGTGGGGTTAGCCTTTCATTT